GTCAAATATATCTTTATAAAAATATATCAAGTACCCAGCTCGTACCACAAAATAATTAGAATCTCCCAACATTTTTTTTATCAATAACATCAATAGCTATATCGTCTTCAGATCTTCTCTCTCCTACTACAATTCACTATTAACATATTCAATAACTTCCAAATGTTAAAACGTTAATTTTCTTCTATCAAATTCCGAAAAACATTATGAAACTCATTCTATTAAAGAAAAGAAAGTCCTTTATTGAGCAAGTATGTATCTAAGTGATCCATGATATGTGAGTTACACATTTTAGCCCCAATGGGGATTGTGCTGAAAATCTTTTTTCTCTATTGATTTTCTTGTAAAGCTCATTTGATCGACAAATTAACATTTTGAAATTCAGATATGGAAATTTTAATGAGAAAATATTTAAGAAAGCATTCATATGAAAACGGTTGATTGAAATAAAGCTATAGGATTGACACTAATAATAAAGTACTTCAGCAGAGTCTAATTATATTTGAAAATTTCTTCGAAAACTGAATATTCAACGTCTGACTCCAGTTCAAACACCAATATTACTTAGATAAAATACAGTAAAGCTTTATAACAAACCTAGAATTCTGCTTTTAAACAAAATTCTAAGCAAAACTTCCATTTCGATAGATAGAAATATATATCTTTTTTCTATTGATACACAATTCTGTATAGGAATATAGAGTTCTTACAAAATTCTGCTGGCAAATGACCAATTCTGCTTAGAATTCTGCTTTCGATCTAAGGTATTTCACGTCGTATACAACGGTCCGTAAACAACCCTAAACGACTGAAAAACCGGCAGCCGTTCACTCTAAATTAAAATGTGTCGCATATGCGTTGTGAGTAATAGTGTGGTAGGTTCAGTGTCGAAAATATTTCGCAACAGAAAGTGTCGCTAAAAAATTTGTCTCGTTCTATGTGTCGGCTATCGATTCACCCTTTTCTTTTGAGTAAAAGGCCCTATATAGAGAACTCGATTAAACATATGAAAGTTATGTATTTTCATTTAAATATTTTTTAGATTATTTCCTGATTAATAATTAGTCGAGAGAATGCCTATCTTGGCCATTGGTCGAGGTGAGACTCCCTGAAAATTGTCTGGTAAAAACCGGACACCAACTCGAGACTCAGCAGATCTCAAAATCTGGCCTGTTTGAGTTTTCAGAAATGAAACTGTTCAATAGACCAAAATCGTAAAAATTATCATGATCTTTTCGATAAAAATTTAAAAAATTATGGCTAGTGGGTTCAAAAAACGTTTTCAGAATGGGTCGCATGTGTCGTACAAAATGTGTTGTACCATCACTGAAGATAATATTTCGTAACGAGCACCTGGCGTCGCAAATCACGACACATGCGGCACGTTTAAACTGAATGTGTACGATGGTCAGCGACGAAGCGCGAAAAACGATGTGATAGGGCGAAAAACGATGGTCTTTTACATGGTAATTTCTGTGTTCTCGGAAACGACTACCTTCTAAGGCGAACGTTCTTTGCCGTTATACATCTCTTTTATTTTTCGATATAAATATGGGTAAAATACATACTTAGACACTGTCGTTCAACCTATTATATTCATTTGGTTTTATTTATTTATTGTATTTTATTTTATTTTTTAGATTATTTTATTTTATTTCACTTTTTAGAATTTTAGTTCTTTTATTGTACGCCTTTTATTTTATCGTAAAATTCTTTTAATTTTAATTTTATTGTATTTTAATTTTATTTTAATGTATTTTATTGTGAAAAATAAAATATAAGTGACCAACGTAACACTCATTTTAAACGGCTAAAACGGTGATCGGTTTTCATCGTTTAGGGCGTTAATTACGCCATTTCAAGCAGTTTAATGCCATCTTTCAGGCGATCTGAATGATGAACGTTGGTAGTGCGTATATACAGTAACATACCCAGATCGAACAGTCCGGTCTGGAAACAGTCGGTTCCGGGTAGTTCCGTTGATTTTGTGGCAGCAGTATTCCGGTTGGAAAATTTACGGATTTTTTCCTGGCGATTTCCCGTGTTTTCCTGCAGGATATGATGACTTTCCCGCATATTTTCTGGAGTATCCTACAGGTTCCGGTGGCCGGAATGTTCGACCTGGGTAGAAAAGAAAGAAACTAACATATTTTATAAATGAACAGAATTTTCGAATTCCGCTTGGGATGAATTCTGCCACTGCTGACCAAAAGTTGAGCAATATAAAATAACAGTTCATTTCAAAAATAAATAAACGATGGACAATAGAAAAGAATAAAAATCTCATTTCTAAATGAGCTATTACGAATTCTTTATAAAAAAAATTGAATTCTTAATAATTAATTCTATTTATATTACTCAGCTAATAGCATGTCTTAGATACTCGAATACAGGATATTATGAATAGTTGTTGAATGACTCCATTAGAATATTTATAATACAAAAAAAAGAAAAGATCAAAGGATGTTTAGCACAATGAACTGAGCAAGCAGGATGCTTCTTCGTGTAGTGTTAAGTAGCTATTTCCTCTAGTGTTGCATTTTGAAAGTTTTGAAGTGAGAACTTGGATTTATTACACTGACAAAGCACTGAATAACACATCTTCACAATTAAAATAACTTCGGGAATAATAGAGAATTAATTTTAAAATAATTAACTATTTAATATGATCTAAAATAAACTCTGTTTGACATAAGGCATAAAAGAATATATAATTAGAATACTCATAAGAAATGTGTCCTATTATCTTACATAGATAACTTACTTTTTCTTTTTACATATGACACATTATTTCCTATATGGATATAGTAATAAGCATTATCACAGTCGTTTGCTTTAGGTTCCATTTTCAGTTAGAAGGAAAAAACCTATCTTAGAGTTTATTGAAATTTTTAAAATCATGCTGCTAAAATCTACATGAATAACATGACGGATGAAAACTTTTAATCCTGTCATAGGATAAAACTATTTGGAATTTATAATTTTAACCAATTTAGAACACGTAAAAATGACTTCTATTACCGATGTAGTAACGCTTAATTCTTCGTTTTGCTCTAAATTTTCCTAACAAGTAACAATTATGTTTACACCATAGAATCAGTCGGTACATTTCACAATTTGAAAATCTTATTAACTGCGTAAAAAGAAAACTGCATCTTATATAATTCAATATCTTTACTTTTTTTTTAATTAACGAATGTTAAGATGCGATCGCTTATAAATGACATGTTATCTACAATAGCAACACGAGCATTTTTAATTGTCTTTAAATAGCTCATCAGCAGAATAGATTTCTTGACTTGCTACACAATTTCACCTGAGAAATAAATAGCAACAATAAAACTGAAGTTAAAGAAACTCATCAAAATAATGAATATTAAAAATTTACTAAATAAAATATGCAGTCAATAAGATTATTCACACACACACAGAAGTGGAAATACATAAAGATGTGTTTCAATCATTATGTGGATAATTTAAAACAAAACATGACTCTTGATTACATTTATTCGGAGTTCAAACACAAAAGAAATATTAAAGATATGCCTTCATCGCTAATAGATTATGTTGATCGGAGAATATAAATCAAATGAAAAACAATTATGTTGATTTTTAACTTTACAAACGTATTTCACAACTATAATTACCTTGTCAGCTTCATAGTGCAAATGAAAAGCTAAAGCGGACTTGAATTTACACAATACTCCTGAATAAATTAGGCTGACTCGATTTTAACGAAATATGCTTTTCATTGAAATTGAATAATTTCGAAAAGCACAAATATTTCTTACTAAAAAATCATCTGTGCTGAATTTATTTTACATTTTAGAAGAAAAAAACAACTTTCTTGCTTGACATAAATAAAACCTTTAGGATATAATAATTACTTCAATGTTTATTTACGTAGAAAGACTTTTTATTGTCATTTTTGGTTATGTTGAAAAGTCATTAAAACCATGAAGGTTCATTCAAGAAGTAATTGCTAATAATAATAAAAAAATCGACTGCTTGATTCTTCCTTTAAGTAAATATATTGGTTCAATATAACTTCTCGCATGATTAAATAGATATCGATATACGAAACAATAATTAATATTGAATCCGTGACTTATTTTTTTATATCGGTAATCGATGAAATATACTAGTTACTTATATAATTATTTTAGTTCATTTGAATACCGAAAATCAGAAAATTGATGTAGATATATAAATATAGGGGTGATACTTGTTTAGTTATGTATAATGAAAATGAAGATTAGCGGAAAGATTCCTTTTAATAATTTATATTCTTCAAGGAGAAATGAATGTTTTTTTTTCTCAGGTATATTATATATATATATATATTTAATATTCAACATCTGTCTCATCGAGATTTTGTTCGAATATCTAGTCTTTATTGAAGCATCAGATAGAATAAAACTGATACTGTAACTCTATTCATTTGAACTCTGACTCTCGTTGGATTACTTGTCATGGGTTAAAAATAGAACAGATCTATGACAAATAGGTCACGGCACCAAAAGATATCATTAATTTTTGTTGCATGAAATGCAAATAGCTTAGAATTGAACACTTTTCCTCCTAAATTTGATATCAAACATGAATATTGTTTTAGAGATTTCTCGATATTGATGCCAAATCGCAAGCAAATAGAATTGAATAAACTTAAAAGCCGTCAGACATTTGCAACATGATAAAATAAAAATATCTCAGCGATTAGTTTCACTATATTACATAGTTTTATAATGTTGACTGAAAACATCAAATATACTATACATCGTTGATGATAAAAATCTGATACACATAGCATTAAATAGCAATACATATGCATACAAATCAAGCAAACACAAATAAGGAGAAGAACAAAACGAAACTTGAACAAATATGATTCATTTTAAGACATATTTTTTATACATAAATAAAGTTCATCGATGCGAATATGTTCGTGTTACACAAATGACAAAACACAAGTAAAACAATCGATCTGACCATTTAAATATTCATTGGCCAGCAGGCGCTCGTTTTGATATGACAATAATAACAATAATAATACCAACAATAATTAATACTGATAATATAACTACTAACGAACAGAGAAATTCTCGTCGATTAACTCGTCGATGAATCATTGAAAACTATAAATGAGAACAAGAGAATATTTCAATCAACAAACAATCCATCTTACAAATATAACAATTACGACATAGAACAATCTATATACAACATTACTACAAACAGTCTTAACATACGGAAGTCGCAGAGTCTTCATTTAAATAATAACAGCGTGTTAGACGATGTCTCTTTTTCGGTTTTCTAATATTATCGTCAGTTAATACTTCCGCTGTGTATCTATGCATATTTTCAACTAAATAGAACAAAATTAAAATAATTAGAAAGTTTATTCTTTGTCTTAGCGGAAATTTTCCAATACAAACCAAAATCTTTTGAATATGATGTTGCATGATGTCGCAATTGATAAATATCTATTTGTTCAATTTCATCACGAAGTCTTTGAACGCCTTGAATTTCACTAAGAAGAAAAAGTCAAGAAATCAAAGATTGAATTCGCTTGGTCGATTTTATTTATTACTTCAATAATTCAATATAACGGTTTGTTTCATTTTCTTCATTTTCATGATTTTCATATGAAACGTCATCGGCATTTATGGTTGAATCTTCAAAACCCAAATTAACAACATTTGTACGATCTAAAATGCATTTTATTAGCGAACATTTAAAAAAAAAAACATAAAATAAAAGCTTCTTTATTTTACCTCCAGTAGCTAGAGGAAAATAGACAAGTAGAATAGAAAATTTATGAAGTAAATCTTCATAATAATTCATTGCGGCTAATGTAAAACACAAGCATTTTTCAAAACGACGTATAGCTAATCCGCTTTTAGGTCTAAATTTACAAAATTATTACCATATAAAATCTTTCAATCCTAAATCTTTCAACTTACAATCCTGTTGATATTGCTCCGTTTCCTATTAGTTCTCGTTGATGAAAGAAACTTCGATTAATTCGTTCTTTTAATTTTTGAATTTTGTTTCGTAGTTTGGTTGTATCACATGAAGTGCCAAGATAATAATTATATTGTCGAAATTTTCCTACATCTTTCATACAATCATGTAAAGCCTATAATGATCAAGTATTTAGTTTAGAATATAAATAAATAACGATTGTATTATTTTCTAGAAAATTATACTTTGAAAATTTCACGATCATCGGGTACAGTTGAAAAGTTCGTTGTAGTCCCACCTGATCCATGTCGTAACGGTTGAGTCATATCCATAGGTCTCATTGATATAATTGTAGAATCAAGAATAGTGCCCGTTCCGGGCATTCCTTTCTTGAATTGTCAATTATTTCTTCTTGTTCTGATCTTTTAAAACCAATTATTATGAATGGATAAACATTCATTGTAGTTATATTCTATATGAAAATTTGCAATGACTGTGGCGCTACTGTAACGTAGTTCTTTAGATATTTTTTTATAATTCATATCGACTTTATTCTCAAACTTAATGTTAAAATAAATCTTGAAATAAAATATAGCTTTTCGCTTCGTCTACCTGTAGAGGACGCCTAAAGTCAACACATGACGAATTGTTAATGATCAATTAGAATCTGTCAAAGAGAAGTCTCGTATTTTCAAGTACTGATCATTTAAGCGTGTGATTATTTTCGAGCATTTGACCGATATTTAAAACAATCGGTTAAGTAGATTATGTTGAAATTCACAATATATATATATATATATATATATGTAGAATTCTCTATGTCTCGTCGTTAATTCGAGTTAAAAGCATAATATGATATTCATATTCATAATAAATGAATGTCTTTCACGAGAGAATACAAGCGGAAGTACTCCCTGTACTTCATATGAAGTTTTCTTTTTTCATTACTAATAATTAAACAACTGAAGGTATAAATATACCTCGCAAATATTTCATTAATTCCTAAACATGTAGAAAACTATTGTATTTGAATATAAGAAACAAAAACCCTATTTTGAAGAATGAAGGAGATGATTGATTATGAATAATAGATTTTCTATTAGCATGACTAAAATAGATTTGTCATCGATCGAAAAAATTTTAGCATCGCATTCATCAAAGTATGATTGCTTTCTTTTTAAGAAATTTAAATGCCTAGTTTTCTTACTTTGTCTATTGTACAATGGTATCAAGATCATTTCATATGTTGCAAAAATTTAATCATAGATCTATACAATCTAGGATAATAATAGAGTATAGTTAATTATTACATAATTTGCTGGTATTTAAAAAATATAATTTCTAATTGATGTATGCAGAGAGCGAAAGTTTCTAGAAATGTTTAATTTCAAGTTTTGTTTTCCGATATTAAAAGACTGACATATTGTCTTAGACAGCATAAATGAAAATTATGTCGCCAATAAATAATTCGAATTAATTTTTTTCCAACATAAAAATTGCTAGATATAATATGGCTTGTCTTCTTCTGAAGAGTCATAACCAATCAAATTAACTATCTCATCATCTGCAGGACATCATTAAAAAATAAATGACATAGTATATGATGGTAAAGATTAAGGCAGATTTCCTGTTTAAAAATGCGCAAGAACCACAATTTGCAGTATCGAATTATGAGACATACGATAATTGACATATACTAATAAGAATGCATGTATTACGTTCTCCCTCGATTAACATTCGTGACAAAAAGACGGTTGTGTTTTTGCATATGCATGTGTGTTTCTTGTTTCCTACCCTACAAAAATAACTTTGTGAGAATGTTTTCATTTAGCAAAATAAAAGAATTGATTGTAGCCCATTCAAACATTGACTATGATAAGAAAATTAATATGCACATCTTATCGTAAAACGATTATGAAAAGAAATTCAATTGATAATTTAGCATATAATGTTATTACCAATTTTCTATAGTATAAAATTCAACGTGCGACTCAGCCTGTTAGCTCCTTTTGCAATCAAAAGTAACGAGTAGATCGTACGAAAAATTCATAAAGAAAAATAAATTTCTGGTGTACTAAGTTATGAAATGCAAATTTTAAATACTTCTAGATATTTTAGAATGGGGTTTTTCATGATCTTTAACGAATTTTTCTCATCGATGTATGTTATACAAAACAAAAATGAATTTAATCAACTAGCTATAATGCTCGAGAACGAGAAAATCGAATTATAAGAATATCCTCTGAAGTAGTAGTTTCTATTTGTAACGAATGACGGCAAGACCAAAAAACATGAATTTCACATCAATACCAAATTGATTTCTCTGAACGCATCATCACGTTCTAGATATGTTCGTAATGAGATACAGCAGTAAAATATCATTATGGTAAAATCGGCATTTATTTATTAGACGATGAGGGTACACTTCCAAGTGTGAAAAAATGCTATTCAATCGAGATTCTACACATTATATTAGTCTGAAGGTGATACGAATATCCTAAAAAAAACATCATTCTATTTATTAGTTTATCACTTCATAGATATGATATTTTAGTTTTCTCTCTTCCATAGAAAATTGTCGTGCACTCAAAAGTACTTCAAAGAGTGATTGAGAACTTGAACAATGATATAGATATAGACCATCACAAAGCGGCTTTTTAATAAAGATTAAATTTTTCGATTGCATCGACTGTGAAATAATAACGTTAAAATTTACTCGTCTATATGAATCATAGAAAAGAGATTGTGTTTTTATTACTTTAGGGTCTACCTATAATGGATTTTAAATTTTGTTTACTAAATTTACATAGTTCATTAGGAGCAATATAAAGCAGCGTTTCATCTATAGATACATAGGACAAAATTTGCAATTTTCCGGATCTAGAGCTAACAATAAAAAATCATCCAACGGAACGATGGGTTATTATTCATTGTCCTTTACTCGTCAGAGTATTATTTGATCAAAACTAGACCATGATTCAAACATAATGACCCGAAAACAAGGTGCTGATTCTTCATATAATAGCAATCAATTCTAGAATAGATAAAAAAAAATATCTTGGTTCACTGCACTGCGAATGACTGAATAATAATGGAGCGGATAGAACTATTTCTTTGTCTGTCTGCATAGAACAAATGTATGATTCTTGAATCAGTTTAAGACCAATAAGCCATTTATTTTTCGACGAATTGATTAATTCTCATTTTCTTTTGTGTAAGAAAAAAGAAGAATACGTTTGAGTTTGTTGCGTCAACGTCAAATATATATTTGATAGAATAACACAAAACAAGAAAAAAACATGGTTGTAACAATATTTTTCAATTTGAAGTTAATTTGTTTTCTGCTTTCTTTTAAATTTTTTCTTCTGACTTTGTTCATTATCAAACAATGAATCTTGTTCAACATCTGCTGTCGATTTGTCTTCATCATTGTTTGATAAATTGAAATCAAGTGATGAATTGTCTCGTTTCGAATGATGACGTTTGAAAAAAACATCTTGTTTATCTAATGGTTCAATACGTACACCAATACGTGTACGTATTTTAGGTTGATTCAAACGACGATATGCTGTTTCGGGGTTCCATTCACGACCTAATGGTTGTTGAACTAATGATTCAAATTGTTCAACATCAGCAAATGGAAACGGTAAATCACAAACCTATAAATAGAAAAATCAAAATGATCTGTTGTCTCTGTGCAAATACATACGCGATGCTCAGAGATTTTCTGATCAGCTTTTTCGTTGATTATTACATGATGCAAATGAATATCTCGACGAGGTGGTGCAGGCTTTGGCTGAATTAAAAATCTTGAAAAAACACGTACGTGCATAAGAGAAAATCAATGTTGAAGTTTGTTTATTTACTTTCGTTTTTTTCGTTTATTAACTGGAACACCGGAGCCAGCCCATTCACCCCAACCAGGTAAAGATAAGTCGATCGCTTTTGGACGATCGTGATCGATAATATCTGACTAAATAAGCATAGAAAAGATGCAAGTAGAATATTTATGAGATTAAAATATGAAACACAATATAGATGCTACTGTTTCTTCACTATCTTTTTATTTGTTTCTCCAGATGACTACACAGTTCATGAGCTATTCCTATATGTACTCATCGACATTTCTTCCAAGTCATATTTCGCAAAACAAAATAAAAATATGTTTCCATACATCTGTAATCAACATAAAATTACTTTTTCTTTTTCAAATTCAGCAAGAACATCATCATCAGCAAATGCTTCTTGAATATTCATTTGATGTTGTTCAGTTTGCTTGAGTTCAATTTCAATACGTTTCATACTATCTGGCATAGTAAGATGTTCTACTGGTTTAGTTGCTGTTGTTACGCCATAACTTTCAATGTTTTCTATTGGTTCATTTTGTGATGGGTTCTCGTCATTTTCTTTTTCATGTTCTTCATCGCTATCCGATGATGACATATCTTCATTTCGAACTTCATTTGGTTTTGAATATTCGGATGCTGGTAAAACTGCACTACCCGTTGTTGTTAACCATGGATTAGATTCAGCTTCGATTTGTGATGGTGCAAGAATTAATGGAATTTCTATTGGTTTCTTTTTCTGTATTCCTACTCCAGGTTTTGATGCTGGTTGTGCATCTTCATCTTCATCTTCATCATCATCATCATCATCGCTCTCATCTTGAGCTTGCTTTGTACGTAAATGTTTACCAAGTTTTAATTGTTCTTCGATCTCTTCTCGTGCCTGAAAATGAAGAGAAAAACCAAATAATTGAACCAATAGAAAATAGTTTCTATACTTTTGTATTGAATTTGGATAATAATCGTTTTTCTTTTGCCCATTTTGTTGAATTTTTATGTCGTAATGTTGAACGTTCTTCAATACGATGTCGTTCAAGATGTTCTAATCGTTCGAGAAATTTATCAGGATTTTCAACGGATAATTTTTTTAAATCTTTTTCTTCTTGCTTTTGACGGTCTTTCCGAACGAGACGACGAAATCTATTGAAGAAAAAAAAAACGAATTGAAAGAATCTATCATATCATTGGAATCTATAGGTATTAGGGATGCAACGGTGACGGTGCATCACCGGTCCTTAACTGTAACGGGTCCACCGGTAACCGATCGTACTAAACTATGTCTGATTGGAGCTAGCTGCTAATGGCGACAATTAGTTTCGGTCTCCTATGGTTTCAACAGCACTTTAGCTACGACAAGTGTAATTATTCATAGTCAAAATTTTAAGTTAAGGAGATATTAATGACGCTGACCATTTCTCTTTTTTTCAGATATCTTTTTAATAATTGTTGATAGTGGAACTGATACACAGGTGATTTAACAGCATTGAGTAAACCCCTCCCTATAATAGGAGACCCCTTTCAGCAAAAGTTTAAAAGGCGTATTATAAGACCCCTTTTAATTAGTTAATAAACTAGTATAATTAATATTTTAATTAGTAAATTTCCTTAAAAATAAGCATGATTTCGAGGTTTTTTGATTGTAACTGCTGTAATTACGAACAAGGTGCACATCACTACTGCACTTTGAAAACCCAAAAAATCTCTTCATAAAAGCTCAAAACTAAAAGGGTTTTCTGGAGAACTTTTTTAATTAAAAATTACAAAAATTAGTGGACATAATAAAAGACCCCTTTGAAAAATTTTTACGCTTGGGCGTAATAGAAGACCTGGGGTCTTTTATTACGGGGAGGGGTTTACTCATTTACAGATGTTATATTCGCATATATGCACTCATAGTTGAACTAGTACGTACCAGTAGTGGACTTGCACTTTCATGCTAACGTAAGGATGATCGTGTTGCACCACCATTCTGAATCTCTATGTCGATAAAGAATTTAAGTTTTTACAAAACCATTAAAGGTTAATACTATACAAGCTTGTCAGTACTATGATTCTCTTATTCCATGTTATAGTTTTCATACGGCTCCAAATAAGTCAGAATATACATTTTAAAGATCGCTGGTTTTTAGTTTCAAAGTTTTTAGTTTAATCTTGTCTAGATAGTTTATACACAGGAATTGAAGTGTAATGTTGCTGAAAAATGTATATAATTTGAGTATCCAAACTGGAAATAGTACTGTATGTGTTTATCGAAATGAAAAAATATCTTGCAAATCGCACGCATATTCATGTTTTAACAATGTTTGTGTTATTATTAAACTTAAACAATTTTCAAACAGATACTATGTGAAAAATACTTCTTTTAAGAGTCAGAGTAAAACTGAATTGGAAGCTGAGTAATAGATCAAGTAAAGAATTAAAACTAGCATCGGGAAGAATACTAGTCATCGATGAATTTAAACACTGAAAATTTCAGTTATATCATATTACATAACTATAAGAACTAATTTTCATTTACAATAATATCATTTACATCTGTGCTTTGTACCAGCACACAATCCGTCACACATTCAGATGTACCGGTTACACGGTTATCGTCATCGTTGCATACCGAATAGATATGCGACCATATTAATCGAAATTTATTAGAATTGCTATCATTATTATTTATCTGCACATCTGGAAAAACAATACTTGTAGTCGAATTCTTCAATATACTATTAACATGTTTTAACGGGAAATACAATTATATATGGGTTAAGTCATTAGCTACCGATGAGACTTGACTAAATTAAAATACATCTATCTGGGAATAATGATTTTTTCTACTACTAATTTCATATATATTATATGGATGTAAAGTTACTATAGATACCATGAAAACAACACGAGTAAAACGATGATCTTGACAACATGACGGAGTATACATATACAAAATAATCCTGATAAAAGATACTTTTGACTTCTCATAATTCTATGATAAAATATGTTGAATATACTTCAGCAGATGATAAATTATAAACTGCCTTGTAATTCATATTATTTTCGTCATAAATTTGTTGCATTTAAGACAAACATATACATCGCTATGACAACACGCTAAGGGATTAATTATCAATAATATTAGGTACGACTGTTATATGTAATGAGACCAAATAATTGCGTATGAAATAATTTTATATTCTTAGACATATAGTAAAATGAATGAATTATATAGAGAGCAGTTCAGAAATGTGCAATGTTGATTCTACGAAGAGTTTAAATGTGTATAGAATATTAAAAAGAATAGACAGTTCTATGTCGAAGCGTATAAATAGGCTGTATCGAACGGTGAAAATTACGATTCTTTAAGATTCATTAGATATTCTTAACAGCTAACAGTATCTGACAGAAAGACATCATAAATTTCATACGCTCAAAGAATACATAATTACATTTTTATATCATTGATGCTTTGAAAATGTTTACTGTAATTATTGTTATTCTGCATTTATTTATATTAAGTACAGCACTACTACGACAGTCTCTTTCGATCACCGACAAAGTAAGGCTGATTTATTTTAAATCCGAATAAGATAGATTAGTTATCATTGTGACACAAAAAAGTTCAAATAAAAATATTCTCTCTGTTTCCTTTCGTATATCCTTGATATTCATAGTTGTTTTCTGCGAAATTCTGAAAGAGAGAGATTTTCATGTCACTATGCTTATCAGGGTTTCAACTACGCAAAATTCTCTATACCATTTGATTAATCATTTTAACCTTTACTACGAAGAACAACTTTCCAAAGATACTAAACTATCTAGCAGACTTTCAAAGATTCAATATCGAAACCGAAATTTTCTTTCATAGGTGAGAAACAGATCGACCAATAGGTCTTGTCAAATAAATGGTATAACGGAACTTAAGGGATATACTCAAAAAATGCGTTTCTATCATAGATTTCAACAAATTTTGATGTGCGTATTTAATAGAAAAAAAACGATTATGATGAAACTAGAGGCTTTTTTCATCCTTGTTAATCTTACAACTTACTTTTTACTCTTTATTTTTCCTACACGTTTGAATTTTGCTTGTTGATATGAAATAAGCGCACGCATTCTTTTTAATTCATTCAATTTTTGTTTGGCCTTAAAAAGAAGAGTTTTAAATGTATTCTTTATCTCTCTCTCTCTCTCTCAATTCAACTTACTTCAAGTAAATCCATTTTACTTATAATTTTCTTTTCAGCTTGTGTAAGTAGTGAATTTGGTTGAATGTTGTTACTACTTGATTGCAATATTGCTGCTATATCTTTTTCTAATGAGCTTAATGTCTACAAATACAAAAAGAAAGTAAACAAATCTTTGGAAGATAAACCAAAGATTTCTAGTACTTGAAATTTTCCAACAAATTCGTCCGTCGTTTGAAATTGAACACCACCATTTTTCAGTGGAAAATTCAATGTTTCCGCCTAAATTTGATTTAAGACAATATTGAAAAACAATAAGAAACAAATTTACAGTTCGATTTTTTGCAACAATAGGATCCCATTTAGAAATCGATTTTGTTTCTTGATTATAAGCAGCAATACGTTCAGCCTATGCGAACAAGAAAAGATTTTGAATGCAAAAAAAAGAACCTTAAATTTCAATAAAACCTTTTCTGCTTGTGGTTTTTGTAATGGTTGTTGAAGAACAGCTTGATGTTTATTAACTTTTGCTAGCTGTTTTTTTAATGTTTGTATTTGTACTGATGAAGTCTTTTTTAAACTAGATAATAATTGATGGCTTTTAATCTTTTTTGATGCTGATGCTAGTTAAATTTGTTGATACAAATAAAATAAGAAAAATATTGAGTTCATCCTTTCTAACTTACATGTTTGTGTTGATGCAACAAGATTATTTGGAATACTAATTGGCTCTTTGCGAATGATTACTTTCCTATTTAAAATGAGTAATGTATCGTGAATAAATAAATGAAGAAACAATCTGGTCGTACCGTTTTTTACCACCTAAATGAACAATTGAATCAATCAATTTATCATGTTTTTGTTTCGTTGAATGACTATGGGATTGCTAAAAACATTGAAGTAGATAATTATCATATTTCAAGAGGAATGAAAATTTCCCACCTCGTCGTCATCATCATCGTTTAAAACGGGTTCTTCAATAAAATCGTTTTCCATCTGAAAAACAAAACGATGTAAAAGTTGCTGATGTTTTACAATCAATCGAGTGCACATATATCGCTTAGAATATATTCAATACTGTATTGGATATTGTTGATACATCAATCGAAAATCATCAGGTATAGTACATTTTTCGAACGATGGCGCTAGTTAACAGCTAGAAGATTTTTATTATTATATATTATAGAATTCGACCCTAGTCGAACTTTTTTTTGCAAACGCATGCAATTCTTGACTTTCTTGATCAAGAAAGTCAAGAACTATGGACACATCTTGAGCTCAAGTCTTGGAAAGTGCATGAATAAAAAAGTTTGACTAGGGTAGATAGTAGCACCATCTATCAAAGCAGTTGTTTCGCTCATAACTTTGAAACCGAGCAGCAATGGCACGAACCTCTTCACATATGTCATATATATGATGAGCTCTACAAACCAGCAAAAGATGAATTGAAATGGTGCGAGTCACTTGGGAACGTTCCCTCGTTAGGAAATCGAGAGTCATATGACATTTGCACTGACATGAAGAGAACAGTAGGATAGAGAATGATGAGAAACGAGACAATAAACATTGGCATACACTTAATTCTGTTTAGCATTAACAGGAACTATACATACTAAGTAAAAACTATATATTTGCCAAGAGAATGATACATTAAAGTATTTATGTGAATTCTCTCAGCTGTTTCTAGTAGACGCCTTTGTATAATATATCAGATTGCTATGCATTTATACTATGACCTGGATATGTGAAACATCGATACTGTAATTATTTCGAAGAAAATATGTCAGAAATAGTCAGGAAAAACCTGTTATTTCTAAGTTTGCTGTCGTATTGATATGAATAAATATAAACATTAGTCTATAAAATAATTCAAGAAAATTTTCCTACAAAATCCTCCTCTAAATTCTGCTATGACGAAAAATTTTCTAATAATCTTGTGGATAAATCTAGTTAAAAGTTCATGTCACTACTAAAATCATTTTCGATAGTGTCCCACAGAATACTGAATTTTGCTAGAAATTAGTTGCTCACATGTTATAAACTCATAATGCATCGTACAATAACGATAGATTTAGATAAGGTCAACTTCCATGTTTAGCAGAGAGTCGCGTGTCGTATTGACTAAAAACAATATTTGTGTTTAAATTCATATTTAGACTTTTGCTGAGTATTATGATATCGAATGTAGCATGCAATGATCTTCAATTAGCGGAAGATATTTTCTCATATATTCATCAAATAGAATTATTAATTATTTGTCTCAATTAAAAAAAAAGAAACTCATGAATATTGAAAGGCTAGAAAAATTACCCTTTTAAATTCTACCTGTGCGCATATATTGATCTTCGTTATAATTCAATTGATTTACTTAATAATCATCAACGTTATTAATAGCTAAAGCAGTACGCCCAATAAAAACTTCCTCAATTAGTTTTGAATCATTAAGTCAAATTAAAAACTCGGTATTTATCGTAATTGAACATTAATCTGGATAATTAGAGATTCTAGCAAGTAAATTGTCATGTTTTTTCTTTTCCTTTCTATGAAATAATATAGCATCTTTTTATATTTCGATGATATCAATTAAAATCTGCAAGAGGAGCTACACTAAGATTGATTTATTTCTTAAGAACACATTAAGTTTTTTCACTTACATCAAATTGATATTTAAGAAGAAGGACAACAGTGTAAAATAATTCATCCATGTATTTTCTTCTGCACCCGATGAAGGATCTTCATTAGAAGTAATTGGTTCAAAAGCATTGCCAACTTTGGAAACAATATATGTAGCAAATTCGATCTTATCAATAAGATTTGCTGTTATGTCTTTTTATCGACCTATTTCATCTGCTATTAAAAAGTCTATGATAATTTTGAGTTCAATTTTTCGTAACAGCCATTCAACTAGAAAAAGAGCTATTCTTTGGTTTTCTTCTTCTTTTTTTCCTTCTTTTTCTTATTTTTTCGATGCATCGATATGCATCGTCAACCACCAAAAAAGAAAAAAAGAAAAATGAACAAACATGCACACATATAGTATGAGAAAAAGAAAACAACAAAATAGAGACACAAACGTATACATATAGGTGAGATCATTTTAGCCATTGATAAAACAAAATAGTTATCAAATTTTCGCCAATTGTTGAAAGAGATTCGACGGAAGTATTGATTCAATTGTATCCGTCAAATACTGTATGGGCGCATTGAACCAATTTAGAAAAAAATGAGCTATATAAGCAGCTATTTCTGGATATTGATGAGTAAGTAGAGCAAGTATAGCCGTGCCTGAACACAATCCAGCAGTAAATAAAATAAAAAATGGTAATTCTTTTCTCGGAAAAACGGATACATCATGAAATGCTAAAAACAAAAACGTTTGTATGTATGTCACTTTCGAAAGAAAGGAGTAAGATAAAATTTCTTACTCGGTAATAATTCTCTATCGGCTGCTTCGGTACACTAAATAGAATGAATATATCGAATAAATATATCATATAATTGAATATTTCGTTTTACCGTTGGATATGGATGAAATAGATGTCCTTTTTCTAATGGATATGGAATCATGCGAAAGGTTCCTTCCCATGTGCAATGTAATAGATTTAATGCACCTTCGACACGACGCCAATGTGGTAAATGAAAAAAAGCATACGCTATTGCTTCGGAATCACCGCGTTTAAGAATATGTTCAGGTGGTAATATTAGACTTTTCATTTCTAATAAATACTAGAAGAAGAAAAAATTTTATTTCCGTTTTTTGAATAGTGAAACGTTTCATGAATATCGATTTACTTTAGGTACATGTGGATTGAATTCTACTGCTCGATGTATTGCTTCAACTGCAGACATTTCCGTAGCTGTTAAACCACGTTTACTAGCTACATCGGGTGAAAATCTATCAAAAGAATAGAAATTAGATAATGTTAATATTCATAATTGATCTATAAAATTCAAAATTTTTTGTCATGCTATGTAGAGCGGCTTGTCTAAGCGTAACGCTGTGGCGTTTTAGCAAATTGGTTTTGAAATATCTCGAAAAGTATGACAGTTGGAACGTTCATTCGATGCAGTTCGACGAATTCTATTTGTACTATAAATTTGATGTTTCTTAGTTGAACTCTATAGTTTACAGTATTGGTTTATAGTCACGTAACACTGTGACGTAAAAGGCTCCGGAGTTTCCAACGCTCTCATTTATCGTTTAATCCCCCTGCGAACGACGATCTTCAATTAAAATAGACCTGGAACCAACGTTGTAGAGCATGAAACGAGCTTTCCAATGGTAAAAACATTTTTTTCCTAGCTCTCATAATTCAAATAAAAAATGAAAAAATATAACGTAGCGTTGTGGCACTATTTTTCATCGATCGATTTTGAACCCCTTAATATAGTCGGACCTATTTTATTTTCGTGATCATTGACCTATTCTCTACATATAGCCACTTGTACAAAAAATTTAATTGCTGCATCGAAGCGGAAGCTCTTTATCAGTACTGAAAGTTGAAAGCTCTTCAACAATGTAAAAGTTGTCTTGAAGAGTGAAATTTAAAAATAAACTGGCCATTTTGGGGAGAATTAAATTCTGTATCGGTTGGTGCGATGTTTAGCATTTTCCCAAAAATTTTTTTGTTTAAAAGTTTAAAATACGATTTAAGATGTAAAAATTTCATTTTTTTTAAGGAAAAAAATTCTAGATTCGTAACCAGCGCAAAAATCTGAATCTAATGATATAGAGCGATTTTTCCATCTCGAAAAATACATTTTTCAAAACTTCCGCAGCGAAGTAGCGCATTGTGTGGACAAGCCGAGAGAATGATTGTAGCCATACAGAAATGAAATTAAGGAATATGAAAAGAGCAGTCGTATACCTCTTGCTATTAGAGATCTGCAAGATAAGTTTGACTTATAATCTCGGCTACTTTGACCGACATAAAAACATATCGAGTCTGAAACTAATGGGAAAAAAACATTTGTTCAAACGATAACTGAAAACTCCAGTAAGATGCTCGATATTTTTCCAATGAATTATATTATAAATCACATTAATTAAAGCAAAATCTTTGTATTAATCTATTGTATCATAATCCATGATCTAAATTATTAGTCTTGTTTTCAGAATTTTTCATCATTAAATGATGTTTAATGTTATTGAAAAGCTTCGTCAATTTTTAAACAATTGAAATTTGTAGCTGATCTTTTTTGACTTTTTCTTCAATTTACTGTTTATTCTCAACAGTAAATTAAATCTCAACCTCAGACAAACCTACGTGGCAGCAACTGCTCTGGCTTTGAGTAAAGCAGCTGTATAACAAATTGTGGCTGATTTTGGTAAACTAATATCTAAATGAAACGAAAAAAATGTTTATTTAAAAAAAAAGAAAAATATGTTTTTTTTTATGTCTGTACCATCATATTTGGCAAGGACGCCCTGTACATCTGGATAATTTTGAAGCGCAAGTAAAACTTCAATAAGATTTTCGTGTATATTAAAAACTGACATCATCGGAAATTCTTTCACCAAGTCACGAAATATTTTTGTTGCCTCACGTAGTTTACCCAATTTTCGTGCACACATTCCTAAACGTCGTTTGACATATATTAAAATATTTGTATTACGTTCTATGAAATAAAATGAATATTGATGAAATGAGAATTTTTCACAATTTATTCTTTCTTACTATGTACAATATCTTGATTATGGCCCTGTTCGAGTAGTTGCTGTGATTTTCTATAGGCATTTTCAGCACATTTTAATGCTTGTTTTAATATACGTTCAATTTCAATGATGGTTGTTGCTTCTTCTTCGGCTAGAAGAATTAAAGCTGGTGTACATCTAATGAAAAATAAAGAAAGAAATTGAATTTGATTCCGAATATTAATAGATTTTCTTGCATTACTCGGAGTTTTTTTCTAATGCTTCGCGAGCTAATTGAATGCGTACTGATGGCGTTCGTTCACGCCAAGCACGTTGCATCACTATTAGAAAAAGAAAATCT